GAAATCAAAGAGAAGTGCTCATAATTATGCATAACGAATGATGAAAAAAAGCATCCATTATGATTCTACGTTTGGGGGGGCATACTCTGCACAAACAGTCACAATAGCACAGCGTATACGCAGGCAACCACCTAGCGTATACTAGGGAAATCTACGCCTACCCCGTCATCAGGTAGCGTTCCCCGAAATTTCCGAACAGAGCGGCAGAACTGGCGCTTGGGATCTCCAAGCGAACGCGATTAATCACCACAGCAGGTGAGCAACTCCCCCAATCTAACCAACCAACGAGATGAGACCTAATGCTAACAATCCAGCGCGAAATCGAGCGCCAACCCACCGAATCGGCGGGGAACGAACCGTCCAGCGCTAACGAACAGCCCAGCACCGGCCGCATTGCCGCCGCGCAAATCGACGGCCCGCGCGGAAACCCGCGGCCGCGTCCGTACGCGAAACCCTAGAATCTACGTACGGACGGAAAGGTTTCCCCAAATTTATCTGCAATCGGAGGGAGAGGGGGAGGAGGAGGGGAGCGGGGCGCGTACGAGCTTGAGGTGGGACTGCACGGCGGGGGAGATCTCGCGGAAGTTCTTGAGCGAGTCGTAGCCCCATCCGCTCGCCGCCGCCGACGAGGTCGAGTAGAAGGCGTCCATCCCTGCCCTGCGTCTGTCGAATCGGAGCGGCCTCGCCTCGCCTCGCACGCAAAGCTGCCTTGGCCTTTGCTCGCGCTTCCGGATGGATTTTTCTCTTTTCCTTTTCTTCTTCTTCCGCTGCTTTGGATGGATGGATGGATTTCGATACCGGTGATGGGAGGGGTGAGACGCGAGGCGGAGGCTATATAGGGTGGTGCGACGCACGCGTGGACGATCGGTTGGTTGATTCGTGTGGAAGGAAAAAAGGAGAGGGAGGAAGCGGCGGGGCATCGCTGCGGTACTTGTCTCCAACTTGTGGTGTGCCTGCCCGGTCCGTCGCGAGGGCGCCAGAAGCTTCCGGCCGTCGCGCTGCACGCAGTTTTCCTTTTTTTTTTCTTTTTTTTATGAATTTTGACAAAATACAACAAGGCAAGCACGTATATACTGATATACTCCTGGCCCTACCTTCTTCTTTTAATTATTATTTTTTGCTATATACCTTCTGTACATGTCACACTGTGAAAAATGTCTCCAAGCCATGGTCCTAGAAAGAAAATAATCATGCTCCTCCATCCAAGCCTTTGGGTTGACCAATGAAGGCAACGCACACATCTTGATCGAGAAGGAAATGGCCGACCCAGGGCTGACCATGTCACACCCTGATCGCTCGACAAATGGACCACGCCACGCGGTCCACACGTACGTTCCGAGCCTTGGGCCGCACGAACGTCACATCACCACCACCTTATCCCGAGGCCGACGGCGACGGATCGGTGCCGGATGACGCGAACTCTCTGTACATGACCAATCCGGTCGCGCCACGTGGCCGGAATACGGGAGACGTCTTTGAGAAGAAATAAGAGATTGAAGTGAATGGAGTAGTTTTATTGATGTTACTGTTCAGCCTTATATACCATCTGAACAGGCGTGTTACAACGTCGGTTACAATGATTGTGACTGTTTAAAAAGGCATGATGTCCCTTCGCCATACACAGCGTATGGACAACGCTAACTGTAGGTAGTTAGCCTATAGGGAATCCTAACTGCTATGCTAGTCTAAAACTGACGCTAACATCTTAACTAATAATATTTCCTACCGGTCCTCATGTACGTGCGGGAAGCTTCGCAGCAGAGCGCGGGAAGGGCTGGTCGTTGGGGCGTCGAACGTTTTTTTTTTAATGAAAGCTTGGCTGGGGGCGTCGAACTTGCGCGAACAATGCCCGGTGCTTTCTGTCTCTTCCAGAAGCTTGGACCCCGCCGTGCAGTGGGACACCGTGGGATCATGTACGGTGGGGCCAGTCTGGAGAACTTGCTTCAGGAACACTCTTTACCGGACGGAGTGAGTAGGAAATAAACTATCTACAGCCTTATCATTTTTTTTGCGAGGTTATAGCCTTGTTTCTTTTCTTGTACTTTTTTTGAGTACCTTTTCTTGTACTATTTTATCAAGGTGAAATGTGCGAATACATGGCATGTATGTGTCTACGCGGTACATATGAGTACATGGGTGTTCTCGGCTAACTCTACGCAAGAGACTATATATACAGCAGATTCTACCGGCCGGTCGTCACCGGCATCACGATACATAGTACGTATGTGTGTGTCGCGGTATATCGATCGTCATCGTCATGCATGTCGTCTGCCAGCACATTGGCATTCAGCAAATTTAGCCGCCGTCGGCTCTAGGGATAGATGCGCACTTCCTCAGTGTGCTTTTCCTTCCAAGTGTCGGGAGGAGTGCGGATATATATGCTCTTGAATTATTGGCAGCATGTTCCCATCGACTGGTCTATCGTTTTCAAGCACCTTACACAGAGAGAGCATAAAATAGTACTCCCTCCGCCCTGTAAAAATGGATGCATCTAGAACTAAAAATCTGTCTAGATACTACATCCATTTATGCGACAAGCAATTCATAACGGAGAGAGTAGTATGTGGAATCTATAGCATTGAGATTGAGCCCTGGCTAGCCACACACACTTGGTTGTCGACCGGCATGTTGCTTATACCACTGAAGGAATAAAACCTTAAAGTTATGAAGTAAATCGAAAGTACGAGCACCAATGCAAAATATACAACTTGAATTCAGATAGAGAAGTTCCACCACAAGGAATCTGGCATTCACTTAGCACATCATGCCTACTCCCTCCGTTTTAAAATAGATGATCATCTATTTTGAAACGGAGGGAGTAACTCTAAAGAGGGAGTATGCACCAAAATTGTGCGATATCCTTATTGGAAAAAAAAATCACCGGACTTCCTTGATTTGAAGGATTACAAAGGGAGGGGAATACGAAAAATGCAAGACTTCAATGTCATACCTGCTTGATTCGTACACGATTTTGTGTTCGTACAGAAAAGTTCCTTGACTGGTCCGTATGAAGAAAATTGAATCTCTCTGGCTCCTTAATTAGTTCAAAGGGAAGAAACGAAGTGACTTGATCGCTAAAGTTCAAAGGGGTAAAAGTCACTAGCTATGCAGCCGTCGTACGCTGGCCCGCCTTGGTGGCCTAGAGACGAGTAAAACCGGGGAGCTCAAACCGGGAGAAGTAAACAACGAGCGGGACTCGGCTCGTGGGAGAAGAAACGAAGAAGTTTGTTTTTAGCAGCCGACGCGCCCAACACGCAGGCCACGGACAAAAGAAAACCTCGATCTAGAGCAAGTAGTGATCCAAAAGGATTACGTGGTCGCGCGCACCAATATGTTTCCGAAACCACCTGCATGCCGTGGTCGATCTCTCCGTCGAAACTTCGTGGACCAATATGCGTCCAAGCTAGCCAAGAGAAGACAGTCCGTGCTTCGGATTTTTTTTTTTTTGAAAGACAGCAGGAGAGCTGCTGTGATTCCATTAAGAAGAACGTGCTACGGAATTAGCAAGCGAGATCCAAACCATCGAGAGACCCGAGTCTGGACACGGGGGCGTAGGATCGGAGCTTAGGTTAATTTGATGTTGACGATTGTGCTTCAATTCCTTCCTCAAACGCAGTGAATGCCTATGCGCATTTGCAAAATGCAACGCCGGATGAGCTCCCGCGGCAGCTTCTGAATCACCAGGGAGCAATCCATGGAGTCACGCTCACGCAGCAGGGCTAGCTAGCTGGGTAAGTTGTCTGTTGACCTGATCTGCGACAGACGACGGCGTCCTCCTCGGCTCAGCTAGCCGGCGGCACTGTCGCTGGTGCGTCGTCTAGTGGGATCTCCACCGTGGAGTTGCCGCCGTGCTGCCGCTGCAGTGGGGGCGTGCATACGACAGTTTTGGTGGATCTTCCGCTACCTCTAAACAAACACAGTATTTTAAATTATGTACGGCAGATTATACGTATGAAAGATCTCTCCTAGCTACGGGGTCGTCGCAGTACCAGCATGCAGGAAATTTCGTGAGGGGCAGCTAGTTAGAGTGTCAGGGGATATCGATCGATCGTCATCGTCATGCATGTCGTCTGCCGGCCAACACATTGGCATGTAGTTAATCTAGCAGCCGCCGGCTAAAGAATAGATCATAGACGGAGATATCTTCACTGCGCTTTTCTTGCTTCCAAGTGTAGGTAGGCAGGATAGTGTGGCCATGCATGGCAGCGTGCTTCCATCGATCGGTCTACCACGCGTGACACGTCCACATGATCACTGCATCATACGCAAACACAAGATAAAAATGATATCCGTCGGCTTTCCTTGTTGGCCCAAACATGGGTCCCGTGTAGGATTGAAAAAAAAGCTCGAAGCTCGTGAGCTAAATGAGTAGTTCGTGACTCGAAACTACTTCACAAGCGACACTGCTGGACGACTCAGGCATGATATGTTTAATCCACTGGCTGAGTTGCACCTAGTCCTTTGTATGGATGGTCTGATTTGCACTATCGTCCAGGAATCGTCCAACGGCTATCATCTGCATAGCAGCACTCCTCGTGACTTGGCTCGAATCGACTCGAACTCGAAGAATAATGAGCCGAGTCAAGCTTTAGTTTAAGATCGTTTACATACCAAGTTAAGCGAGCTGATCTCACGAGTACTCGTGTAACTCGTTAAGCTCGATAAAAAAATCTGCGTTTTTTAGGGATAGTAAAATACAGCCACTAAACACCTTGCGTCCCAACACAAGGCCCAGTCCCTCAAGGCCGAGCCACCCAGAAGACTCACACGTACATGACCACATATGCACATACTAAATTCTCATTTAATCTTTTTATCATATTCTTAAGGTCTAATGTTCATATCTTTAACGAGCTTAACAAGCTAAACGAGTCAGCTCGCGAGTTATACGAGTCGAGCCAATCTTGGATTTGAGCTCGCTATAGTAACGAGTCGAGTCGAGCTAGCTCATTAAAGAAACGAGCTTTAGCGAGTCAAGTCGAGGTGGCTCGACTCGACTCGAATTCCATCCCTAATCCCATGTGCACACGCGACTGCACAATGACACGGGGCTTTAACCCCGATCGAGGCAATAATATAGCGAATAATTCAAAGAGTACTTCATCACGGGCAGATATTCGGCCAACCTTCCAATCAATAGACCATCGATTTCTTCCTCGGTCGACGGGAGTGAAAACCCTCTCATTTCCGATGCACAACGCATCAAAACTCTTAAACTTTTTGATTTCTATTAATGTATTGTAACTAGTCAGTGGGAATATCCACCTCATCCCCCAAACATGGGTTCCATGTCCACACACTTTAATTTTGTGAAATACCTGCACTTACTTCAAAAGTGGATTTTTTCGATAAAGAACATTTCATTTAATTGATATATCAAGGTAATACAACCGCATTGAAGGAATGACCGACCTCTGCATAGGGCGATGCACATAACCAACATGTCCAACACAACAAAATACATATGCTACACACATTGGGGAGTTCATATCTCTAGTATTTCCTTCAATATGATCCATTCATCCGCTCCCGCCGCTAGAGTCCCGACCGGCTTTAATCACGGGAATATAAGAAATTCAATACCCTCTCGATTTGCTGGTTCATATTGCTGGAATGTGAGGCAAATTTGTGATTAATTCCAGTAATTCAT